TGTTGCTGCAAGTGGCACCCAGTAACCATACCAGTGTTGCTGAAAGTGGCACCCAGTAACCATACCAGTGTTGCTGAAAGTGGCACCCAGTAACCATACCAGTGTTGCTGAAAGTGGCACCCAGTAACCATACCAGTGTTGCTGAAAGTGGCACCCAGTAAAAACCCTACCAGTGTTGCGAAAATGGCACCCCATAACCAATACCAGTGTTGCTGAAAGTGGCACCCAGTAACCATACCAGTGTTGCTGAAAGTGGCACCCAGTAACCATACCAGTGTTGCTGAAAGTGGCACCCAGTAACCATACCAGTGTTGCTGAAAGTGGAAAACCCCGTAAACCCTACCAGTTTGGAAAGTGGCCCCCAAACCTACCCGTGTTTCGAAAAATGGGGACCCAGTAACCACACCATGTTGCTGAAAGTGGCCCCCATAACCAACCATGTTGTGAAAGTGGCACCAGGAACCATACCAGTGTTGTGAAAGGGGACCCCTAACCATACCAGTGTTGCTGAAAATGGGACCCAGTTTAAACCCTACCATGTTGCTGAAAGGGCACCCAGTAACCAACCAGTGTTGCTGAAAAGGGGACCCATAACCTACCGTGTTGCTGAAAGGGCCCCAGTAACCATACCCTGTTGCTGAAAGTGGGCACCCAAACCATACCAGTGTTGCGAAAGTGCACCCAGAACCATACCTGTTTCTGAAATGGCACCCGGAACCATACCCTGTTGGAAAGTGGACCCAGAACCAAAACCAGGTTGTTTAAAAGGCACCCCAGTAACCTACCAGGGGTTGTAAATGGGCACCCAGTAACCAACCAGTGTTGCCGAAAGTGGCACCCATAACCAACCAGTTTGTGAAAAGGGGACCCGAAACCCTAAAACCCGGTTCTTTTAAATGGAAATTTTCCCACCGTGTGGAAAGCCCCCAAATTTAACCATAAATGTTTTTTGGAGAAAGGGCAACCGTACCAACCGTTTATCTGAAAATGGCCCCGGAAACTCCCAGTGGTTTAAATGGCACCCAGAACCATCCCTGTTGCTTTAAAGTGGCCCCCGGGAACCAAAACCCTTTTGGGGAGAAAAGGCCCCAAACCATAACGTGTTGCCGGGGAAAAGTGGACCCCGTAACCATAAACATGTTTTGAAAGGGCCCCCGTCCAAAGGGGTTGTGAAAGGCACCCATTTTTACCAGTGTTGGGCTGAAAGTGGGGAAGAAATCCCGTTTCCCAAAAGTGGCACCCCTCCCATCCCGTGTTGCGAAAGTGCACCCAGTAAAACATCCGTGTTGTTTAAAGTGGCCCCCCCACCCAAACCCAGCTGAAAGTGGCACCCGTCCCCAAAAGTTGGCGAAAGGCCCCAGTAACCATACCGTGTTGCGAAAATGGCCCCCCCATGTTGCAAAGTCACCCAGTAACCAAACCAGTGTTCTGGGGGCACCCTAAACCCAACCAGTGTTTGCTGAAAGTGGGTAACCCAGTAACCATCCAGTGTTGTGAAGTGGGCACCCAGTAACCAAACCAGTGTTTTTTGAAAGGGCACCCCGTAACCATACCCGTGTTGTGAAAATGGCACCAGTAACCTACCCGTGTTGCTGAAAGTGGCACCCAGTAACCAACCAGTGTTGCGAAATGGCCCCAGTAACCATACCAGTGTTTTCTGAAAGTGGCACCCAGTAACCCTACCCTGTTGGAAAGTGGCACCCAGTAAACCCCTACCAGTGTTGGGGTAAAGTGGCACCCAGAACCATACCAGTTTGCTGAAATGGCACCCCCAAAACCCCAACACCAGTGTTGCTAAAGTGGCCCCAGAAAAACCCTACCCGTGTTTCTTTAAAGTGGCACCCAGAAAACCATACCGTGTTGCTGAAGTGGCACCCCCTAACCCCCAGTGTTGTGAAAGGCACCCGTAACCATACCGTGTTGCTGAAAGTGGCACCCAGAACCATACCCGGTTTTCTGAAAGTGGACCCCGTAAACCAACCGTGTTGCTGAAATGGGACCCAGTAACCATACCCGTGTTGCGAAAATGGGACCCAGAAACCAACCAGTGTTGCTGAAAGTGGCACCCCGTAACCATCCTTTTGCTGAAAGTGGCACCCAGGAACCAAAACCCAGTGTTGCTGAAAATGGGAACCCCCTAACCATCCAGTGTTGGAAAGTGGAACCCCAGTAACCAACCAGTTTGTGAAAATGCACCCCGAACCTACCAGTGTTGCTGAAAGTGGCACCCCGTAACCATACCAGTGTTGCTAAAGTGGCACCCCTAACCTACCTGTTGCGAAAATGGCACCCATAACCATACCCTGTTGCTGAATGGCACCCCGTACCATACCAGTGTTCTGAAAGTGGACCCTTAACCATCCCCGTTTGCTGAAAGTGGCACCCAGTAACCCTACCATGTTGCTGAAGGGCACCCCCGTAACCATACCAGTTTGCTGAAATGGAAACCCCGTAAACCCTACCGGGTTTCGAAAGTGGGCACCCCGTAAACCTAACCCCGTTTCTGAAAGTGGCACCCAGTAACCCTACCAGTGTTGCTGAAAGTCACCCAGTAACCATACCGGTTTAAAAATGGCACCCAGAACCATACCAGTTTTCGAAAAGGGCACCCAGTACCAACCAGTGTTTCTGAAGTGGCACCCAGTAACCATCCAGTGTTGCTAAGTGGCACCCGTAACCAAACCATGTTTCTGAAAGTGGCCCCCAGTAACCAACCAGTGTTCTGAAAGTGGGCACCCAGTAAACACTTTTAAGTCACAATAACAAAGAAAATTAACAAGGAAACCCGGGCCCTAACTAAGTTTTTATTTGAAAAAAAAGAAAAAAAGTTTAAGTGAGTTTGTGTGCTGTGACGATTTTGCCTTTTCTACAATAACAAAGATAAAAGGGGGAACTGACATTATGAGTGACTTTTAAAACCATGAGTTACTTTATTTTCTTCTGAATGGAAATTACTACTTAAACCCGAGTGACTTTACTAACTTACTGAAAAGACTTGATGACTTACGGGGAATTGACAAAAATGATTACTGAGTGACTTGATTTTGACTTACTGATGACTGACTGACTTAGGACTTGACTGACTTTTGATTTGACTGCTTACTGGGCTTTTCTGCTTTTGAGACTTGACTGACTTACTGAGTGACTGACTGCTACGAATGACTTTGACGACTTTCTGAATGACTTGACGCTTACTGAATGATTGACTTTATTACTGACTACTGACTTTGAGTGACTTTATGACCCTTATATGACTTGACGCTTAGTGACTTGACTGACTTTCGATTGACACTTTTGATGACTTTTCTGACTTACTGAGACTTTACTGACTTACTGAGTGACTTGACTGAACTTACTGAACGACTGACTGACTTTCGAATGACTTTTAAATGACTTACCCGAATACTTGACTGACTACTGACTCGACTGACTTTTTGAGGCTTGACGACTTTTGAGATTGACTTAATAAAATTATATTATTTTATTGGAAGAAGAAAAAAAGAATGATTTCCATGGAAAAAAAGCGAAGTCATAGATAAACAAGCCAGGGCCAGGTTTTTTGGTGAGGGGGGAAGAGGGAGAGGGGGGGCTGGCTCGTAAATCAGAGCAAAAAAAAAACGACCCAGGATGGCTCGTTCTCAAAAAACTCGTAAGTTGGGACACATAATCAAGGTTTTCCCCGGGAAACATTGGAATCCCTGGGGGTTTTTACCAAACCTGCACAAAAATCATCCATTGAAAGCAAAAACTAGGCAGGAATGCAACATTCCCCCCAGAAAAGCGGGGCCACAAACCGAAAACAATACAATAAGTGTCCAGGCCCAAACTGTTCATTGGCCCCCCCACTACATAAGGGGGGTTACCAATAGACCCCGGCGCTTAAGAAGGCACGGAAAGGCACCTAAAAATCATATGACCAAATGGGGTGTGGGTTTTTATGTCAGCTTGCGTGCGCAGCAGTAACAGCCCGGTTGATTAGAACCCCGACCACCATGAGGCCTGGTCCAGACCGGGCCCCAAGGCCGACCCCTGAAAAACCCCCTCCGGTAAATTATAGATTTTATCACTCGGGGGACTTTAAAATTTTTTTTAAAATTACGTGTGGGGGTGGCCTGGCTGGCTACCATACCTCCCACACTTGACTTCTTACAATAAATACTACTTGCCTCTCACTCTACATTAAGACTACAAATATTTTAAGGTAAGTGTGTACTGTGTGTATTTTACTTTTTATTGTTTTTAAAGCCAAGTTCTATTGCTAACTTAATATATGTTAGTGTAAACTTGTTGTCTGGCATTTATAAGTGGACAAAATGGCGTTCTGCTTTCTGGCAATGTCTGCTTTCAGGCGGAAGCCTGGAACCTAACCTGCCATATAAGTGGGGCCCTACTGTACATATAAATTATCATGAATGTCAGTCAGTCAGTCAGTCAAGTAAGTCAGTAAGTCAAGCAAGTCAGTCAGTCAGTCAGTCAAGCATGTATTGACTGGTTAATCACAAACACATATCTGAAATCTCACGGTTCACCTCTCAGAGCTCCAATTTTTTCCCCCAGAAGTGAAACCAGCGTTATTTGAATTTTACGAAGTGTTAGTCAAAAATATGCCACAATTTTTCAGTAGTATAATGGAGAAAAAGTGTTAAAGGAACCAGTGTTAATAGACAGCCTACTGTATAAGTGTTTCAGTCTTGGAGTTACAAAGAAAACAGATATTAGACAAGAGAGAGCCTATGACCTTAATGAAGCATCAGTTTGTACAATTAAAAAGAATGAGGTAAATATATGTGTAATGAATAACCCAGGATATCATCTCACTGACTGACTTACTTGACTGACTGACTGACTGACTGACTGACTGACCAACTTACTTCATTGACTGACTGACTTACTGACTTACTTGACTGATTGTTAAACACTAGAAAAAGCTAAGAAAAACAAAAAAACTTTTATGTACATATAGTATACCTTAAACAGGCCACTCTAAATGTAAGACTTACTTGGTTCCATCAATAAGTTTGCTCTTTTTCTTCTTCTTTCTTTTTACCATATTCTGTTCTTCATTTCTTTCCAAATCCTTAAACTTGGCTAAATTTTGCAACTTTCTTGGTATCTCTTGAGCATCAACACAGGAAGGCGGACAGTTTAGCTTGTTCTTTATCCTACGGAAATAAAACATATTATCTGTGTAACTCACCAACAAAAACTCATATTAAAAAGTGCAATCCCAAATTTCAGGAAAACTATATATATTTGACACTAATATGTGATCCTCCTGGGTTTGGCACTTAGTCTGATTATATTATTATTGACACAAATATGCAGTACAGCAGGGCCTCACTTATATGGCAGGTTAGGTTCCAGGCTACTGCCGGAAGGCAGACATCACCGGAAAGCAGACATCGCCAGAAAGCAGAACGGCATTTTTTCCACTTATAAATGCATATAAATGCCAGATAACAAGCTTACACTAACATATATTAAGTTAGCAATAGAACTAGGCATTAAAAAATAATAAAAAGTAAAATACACACACAGTACACTCATTATTTACCTCAAAATATTTGTAGTCTTAATGCAGGGCAAAAGGTGAGTAGTATTTACTGTAAGAAGTCAGGTGTGGTAGGTATGGTAGCCCTCCTGGCCACCCCACCCACACATAATATACTACAACACTTAAAGTTCCCTAGAGTGATAAAATGTATATACAGTAGGGCCCCACTTATACAGCAGGTTAGGTTCCAGGCTACCACCGTAAAGTGGAACACCTTTTTTTTTTTCCACTTATAAATGCATATAAATACTAGATAACAAATTTACACTAATATATATTAAGTTAGCAATAGAACTAGGCTTTAAAAACAATAAAAAAGTAAAATACACATATAGTATATGTTACGCGCCCCTCCTTAACACTCCATTATATACAAAAATAAAAGGCCTGGTTAAAATAAGTTCTGTAGTAATATATCGTGAACCACTTTATTACTAGCTAGATAAAGCAGGTTGGACTATATATTATTATCGGGTACGGTATAAATCATCAAAGGTACTCTCAAGCAAGGTTGTTTTCATTAAGATGTTATTCGTTAGGCATTATTATAATATATTCTGTTGTATTATATTGTTGTATTATAGTAGGTTGATTACTGTATTCTGTTATTCAAGTGGGAAACCACTACTTTAGAGACCGGTTGATGGTCCCAGAATTGGCGCCTAGTGCTGCCTCCTGACCAACCTGACGTCAGACCACTGAGCATTTGAAGTCAATCAGATCATAGCACTGACTCTGATCGGGTCTTCAACCCAGAGATCTTAACTTGGTCAATAATTCTAGATCGTGTCTATTAGTCTTAACTTTGCTGTTAATTCCAAGAGATGATAACCCTTCTCTTTAAGAAGGATAACTGACTGACTTCCTTAAAGTTCCCATAGTAGTTCTTATTTGGTCTTTTCATTGTAATTATGTTATTATACTTAATTAATAAGGATTTGAACATAGAATTACATTCCTCATTGTACAGTCTCATTTCATTGAAAATAGTGAACTGTCATTTTAATTCACTAACCGGACACTAATAAAGGTTCATAATTGGTAGTAAATAAAATTAACCAAAATGCAAAACTAAGTATTTATTCCCCCTATTGTTGCGGCATAGAGCAAGTCGTAACAGTACACTCATTACTTACCTTAAAATATTTGTAGTCTTAATCTAAGGTGAGATGAGTAGTATGTATGGTAATCAGCCAGGCTACCATACAAGGCCACCCCACCCACACATAATATTCTATAACATTTAAGCATCCCAGAGTGATAAAATGCATATGCAGTTCACTCATTACTTACCTTAAAATATTTGTAGTCTTAATGTTGGGTCAGAGGTGTGTAAACGAGATAAAACGAATAAAAGAGAGAGAGAGAGAGAGAGAGAAGAGATAGAATGAGTACATGAAGGAGGACAGGTGCAGAGTTATGTAAACAAACCAGGCAAATGCAAGTTTTTGTAAACAAACCAGGTGTACATGTCTGGTTTGTGTACAATTTACATTGTGTACAAGTTGTCTCTACATTGATACAGTAGAACAACACTCCCATTCTCATGTAACACCAGTTTTAGAAGAAATGACGCTCTGAGTGAAGGCAATGGAAGTAAGTCACTGTCTGCTTTTTGGTTCTACGTTCTTACGATATGTGCTTTGTATGATAATCTTGTACTGTTTTAACTGAATAATTAAGAAGGAATATTTTCTATAGTAACACCCCAGAAACATTCTTGAGTGGATTAGAGAAAATGTATTCTGCGCAGACGGACCGCGGGCATTGACCCCGGAGACTACTCCAGGTAACTGTACAAAGTCTGGCTACACATTGTATTTATTTTATTTAATTCTACTTGGGGTGTATTTATCATCTATATGTTATGTATCGTGGTTTATGTATATAATTTTACAAATAAATTATCATAGATGGATTAATGAAAATGTACATATTAACGTAATATACGACATTTAATGAGATTTCGGTGATTATTACAATGGCCACTTGTACAAGAGCCTGGCTCCACGCTCTTTATGTTTATTTATTCTAAGTGGAGTGATTTTATCTTATAGTTATGTATCATGTTTATTATATAATTTTGAAAAAATATCATATATGGATTAATGAAAATATGTATATGCATTAACATAATATGTGACATTTAATGAGACTCAGTGATTATTATAAAGTAGGGCCCCACTTATATGGCAGGTTAGGTTCCAGGCTACCGCCATAAAGCGGAAATCGCCGTAAAGTGGAACACCCTTTTTTTTTTTCCTTATAAATGCATACAAATACTAGATAACAAGTTTACACTAACATATATTAAGTTAGCTATAGAACTAGGCATCAAAAAACAATAAAAAACTACAATACACACATGGTGCACTCATTATTTAACTTAAAATACTTATAGTCTTAATCTAGGGTGAGACAAGTATTTATTGTAAGAAATCAAGTGTGGTATGTATTGTAGTCAGCTGGGCTACCATACAAGGCCATTCCACCCACACATATATTCTATGATATTTAAGCATTCCAGAGCAATAAAATGCATATACAGTTCACTCATTACTTACCTTAAAATATTTGTAGTCTTAATCTAGGGTGAGATGAGTAAACGAGATAAAACGAATAAATGAGAGAGAGAGAGAGAATGAGTACATGAGAGAGGACAGGCGCAGAGTTATGTAAACAAACCAGGCGAACGTAAGTTTTGTAAAAAAACAAAGTGTACACGTCTGGTTTGTGTACAATTTACATTGTGTACAAGTTGTCTCTACATTGATACGGTAGAATAAATAAAGAACAACACTCCCATTCTCATGTAACACCATTTTTAGAAGAAATGACGCTCTGAGTGAAGGCAATGGAAATAAGTCACTCTGCTGACTTTTTTTGGGTTATCCTAGGTTCTCCACACATATGCTGCTATGTATGATAATCTATGTAACTGTATTTGTGTATACCTGAATAAACTTACCTACATACATACATACGAAAGGAATAATTTTCTGCAGTTACCCCCAGTAACACATTTTCTCTTATGTTAGACTAGAGAAAATGTTATTCTTGATGTCACTTGTACAAGCTATCTGGCTACGACATCTCACATTTATGTTTATTTATTCTGTTGCGAGGTGTATTTATCATCTTTTTATGTTATGTATTGTGTTTATTATATAATTTTGAAAAAATATCATGGATGGATTAATGAAAATGTGTATATTAACGTAAAATACAACATTTAATAAGACTCGGTGACTATTATTATTATTTGTAATATGGCGTCACTTGTGCAAGTCGACTGCTACCACATCTCATATTTATGTTTATTTATTCTACTGTGGGGTGTAATTATCATCTTTATATGTTATGCATCGTGTTATTATATAATTTTGAAAAGATATCATAGATGGATTAATGAAAATGTGTATATTAACATAATATACGACATTTAATGAGACTCGGTGATTATTATCATTACTAATATGATGTCTCGAGATATAAGAGACTTACTGATCTTAATATGTACCTGCATGCTAGCACAATATGTAAGTTTATTTAGGTACAGGTATACATAAGTATAATTATCAGAGTACATATAAAATATGAAATAACTTTTAAAAACACTTGAAATTTTGGAGTTTCTGGACACAATGCAGAGACTTAGTGCTTACGGATCTCACAGAGAATGTAAACAAACCGGGTGGGGCGCGGTGACCGTATTAGAAAGTCAGGTGGGGGGAGCCGCATAGCGAGTTTTGGTCATAATTTGAAATGACCATATTAGCGGAATGCCATAAAGCAAAATGCCGTAAAGCGGGGCCCTACTGTATACAGTGAACCCCCGCATACTGTTGGCATCACATAACGATTAATCCGCATACCGCTTGCTTTAATCGCAAAAATTTTGCCTCGCATACCGCTTAAAAACCCGCTCACCAATTTTCGTCTGAGACGCGTCCAATGTGCACCCTCAGCCAGCCTCACATGTGCCGCCAGTGGCATTGTTTACCAGCCAGCCTCCGCGGTAACATCCAAGCATACAATCGGAATATTTCGTATTATTACAGTGTTTTCGGTGCTTTTTCTGGAAAATAAGTGACCATGGGCCCCAAGAAAGCTTCTAGTGCCAACCCTACAGCAATAAGGGTGAGAATTACAACAGAGATGAAGAAAAAGATCATTGATAAGTATGAAAGTGGAGTGCGTGTCTCCGAGCTGGCCAGGTTGTATAATAAACCCCAATCAACCATCGCTACTATTGGTGGTACAGCTGCTGCTGCTGCTGCACTGTCAGCTGCTGCTGCTGCTGTAGCATCGTCTGCTGCTGCTGCTGCTGCTGTAGCATCATCTGCTGCTGCTGTAACATCGTCAGCTGCTGCTGTAGCATCGTCAGTTGCTGCTGTAGCATCGTCAGTTGCTGCTGTAGCATCGTCTGTTGCTGCTGTAGCATCGTCTGCTGCTGCTGTAGCATCGTCTGCTGCTGCTGCTGCTGTAGCATCGTCTGCTGCTGCTGCTGCTGTAGCATCATCTGCTGTTTGCTGTAACATCGTCGTTGCTGCTGTAGCATCGTCAGTTGCTGCTGTAGCATCGTCAGTTGCTGCTGTAGCATCGTCG